AGGAGCTAGAAAATGGGAGAAAGGAAGTCACCTGAGGGAAATTTTGCTAACATTCAGAGTAAAATTTCAAAGTGTATATTTATGGGGCACCTAGGTGGCTCCATCAGTTAAACGTCAGACTTCGGCCCAGGTCAGACTTCGGCTCAAGTCATGAATGATCTCCCAGTTTGTGAGTTCCAGGGCCCCATGTGGTGCTCTGTGCTGACAGCTCAGAGCCTGGAATCTGTTTCGGGTTCTGTGTCTCCCTCTCTCTCTTCCCCTCCCCCACTCACACTCTGTCTCTGCCTCTCTTTCGAAAATAAACATAAAAACTTTAAAAATAAATAAATAAATAAATAAATAAATGAATATTTATTTTTGAGAGGAGGTGGGGAGGGGCAGAGAGAGAGAGGGAGAACGAGGATCCAAAGCAGGCTTTGCACTGAGAGCAGAGAGCCCCATGCAGAGCTTGAACTCACTAGCCATGAGATCGTGACCTGAGCGAAAGTCAAACACGTAACCAACCGAGCCACCCAGGCACCCCAGATTCAGAGTAATTTAATGGCTGAGGTGGGCATTGACTTTAAGACTCACTGGCTGCTGTAACGTCTGTGCGTCGTGAGGATGAAGGTTGCAAATTGGAAAGTGTGTAAAGAAAAAATGAACTGGAAAGATATGTTGACAGGTTGGAAAACAAGGCAAATTAAATGAAATCAAATATTAAATTAGATATGGCATTGGCTAAAATTTAAAACTGCAAAAGCCTTAATTATTTTGTTTGAAATAAACTGTTTTGACTGAAGGTTATGAATTTGATGATTAACAAAAATATACAAAAATACATATAACATCTGTTATCTTTCATACTTCATGAATTTGGAGATGCAACAACCAGTAACGATTTTTCCAAAAACTTCACTTTCTATGTCAAGTTTCCCTACTTATTTACACACCATCACCACCACCGCCAAAAACAACTTAAGAGCTACCTGTATCAGAACACTAATAGCAAGATTATTTGAAGATTTACCTGTTCTAAAGAAGATTTCTTAACACTGAAGCCAGCTCAACTAACTTTGCAGAAATGCTTCATATGACTGTGAATTATAATTTTAGCCAATTCCCTGGTCTTCAAAATGACCCTGCATCATGTTGCACGATTACTGTTTAGTTTAACTTCATTCTAATTTCCAGTTGACTATAAATCTTTTTCCTTTTAAATCAAGAATTAGTGACATATGATGTCATATCTCACTATTTATTGAATGTATGTTGCCAAATCATTTCTAACTTCATTTGATAATCTCATTGGGTAGTCAAATTATATAAGAAATTACACTTTTAAAAATGAATAAATGGATGGAATATATACTTATATATATGATAAATGAAAATATTTATATTGTATAAATATATGTATTTATATAAATTCCATGTATTAATATATATATGTATGGATTTAAGCATACAACTATATTACAAATATGTGTGAGTATGTTTGCACTTAAAATCAATATAGGATGGCATAGTAAAGAGTGCCTTAAGAAACTAAAAAAAAAAAAATCACTCATCACTTAGCATACATTTGAATTTTTCAGCTTAATAGAACATCTATGACAAAGCACCTTTTTTCCATATAACCCTAGTTAATTTCTCACTGTCTCCCTAGATCTTTTCAAGTAATCTCAGTTACTATGAATTAATTCAGCTCACAGGCAACTTTAAGCTGCATGTAAAACCTAATAATTAATAAATTGTGATTTGTAAAATAGTGCTCATGGATATTTTATTTTAAAAAACATTGCCCTTTGACATTACTTCATGATTTTCATTTCTTTATTTTATGCTAAATATCACTAAGTGTTTAATTTATATTCCACTTCACTCAGATAGAAATAATGTAAAACTTTAATAGAATAAATGTATTTTAACTAAAGTGCAGGGATTTTTGTTCAAGATGTTTTCTTCTGTCATTAATTTCTGTTCTCTCTGAACCTATCAATTAGGTACCTTACATTTGTGTAATATATATATATATATATATATATATATATATAGAACAGTTAAACTTTGTGTGTCTATGGTAGATATGAAATTAACCTCACAAGAAACAGCTTTGCCTTGAAATGAATATCAATATACTTTATTTTACAAGATCATATTTCACTGATGGATTTATTATGTTAGTGAATATTTTAGCAGCTAATTGTAGTTATAAGTAGTTATAAGTTCCAGTACTTTTAGTAGTAAAAAAACTCTCCTATTAGAGGCAGGGTGAATAATGAATCACCTAATTTGTGAATTAACTTCCACTAAATCATAGTGCTTTGTACTCAGTAAATAGTAGGTTTTAGGTATTTTATTATTCCTATCAGAAAAGTAAAAGGTAAAAAAAGAGAAAACAACTATGATGTCATAATGAAGATATCATTATCATGGGTTCTATGTTTTCAATAGGCAAATATAAAGAAATAATGTTAATGTTTTGAATGGAGGTTTGCTATGTCAGTCAATTTTCAGGGTTGTATGCAAGAAAAGTTAACCCTGATTAGCTTAAGAAGAGAATGAACTTGTTGGAAAGACAAGAGCAAGTTTGAAGATTCACAAACGTCAAAAGTAGTCAAGAGCTAAGGGAAAGTGGCCTGCAACTAAAAAAAAAAAAAAAAAAAAAGAGGTCAACTCAAAGTTACTGTTGGGCCCCTGACTACAGTGCAGATATTAATTATTCTCCACTTTATTCCAAACACAATCTTTCTACAAGGGCCATGCAATTTTTCTGTCCTTCCTGAGTATTTGAATCTTTGCCTCTAGATTCATAATACCTTACAGGAACATCTTATTGGTCACTCCTAGAACATATCTCTGTGACCAGGCTAACCAGGGAAAGGAAATATTTACTATCTTCCTTTTGAGAAATGCGGTCCAAAAGAACACCATATCTGAAAAGTTATACCTACGTAGCATACAAGGATGTTATATAATGGGGCACTGATGAGTACGAAGAAGATGAACATAATTAAGAAAACAGGAAAGACTTCCCACTTCAGCTCTTAACCAGAGTGTTATTAAAAGGGTATGAAAAGACTTCTGGTTTCAGCTCCAAGGTGTGAAATGTGTAGTAGTCATCAGTCCCATCTTTACGATAAGTGCTGAACAAAGTCAAAATCGATGACCTTCTCTAAGCCATCAGAGAAAAAGTCACAGGGCAAAATGCCACCCTGAAATCTGTAGAGAGATGTGAATCCAGAGAGTCACAGATGAGATCTGCTTACCAGAAGAAGCCTCTAGAGCCATAAATTGGTATGGACTATTAAATGGCAATCTGGATGAATTGCTGGAGGCAGAATATGGACCAACAGAAGACTGGGAAACTTCTGGGGCTCAAGTTTCAGAGGACCTCCCACACTTCTGCAGGTTTTACATCCAGAAACCTCACCAAGTCCTGAGAGTGAGGAGCCAAGAAAGATCAAGTCTTGGGATCACAGGGGAAAGGTAGAGTAATAGCTGTCAAGTAAATTCAGAACATTTTTCATAACAAAGGCCCACTCTCATGCCTGGGCAGCTCAGTCAGTTGAGTGTCCGATTTTGGCACAGGTCCGATCTCACATTTCATGAGTTCCAGCCCTGCCTCATGCTCTGTGCTGACAGCTTGGAACCTGAAGCCTGCTTTGGATTCTGCCCCTCCTCCGCTTGTGCTCTGTCTCTCTCTTTCAAAAGAGAATAAACATTAAACAACAACAACAACAACAAAGACCCACTCTCCAGAAACATGTTACTGGAGCTTATCCCACCTGAGGGAAAGCCATTTTTCATACTCTAGCCCTAACTAGTTTTTCTACCTCATCTAAGCAGATGAGGGGGAGAAAGGAAGTTAAAATACCATTGTGCAGTTCACATCTCAGGGACCCAGACTCACTAACTAAAATACGTACTCACATTTAATGGCAAGATTAGAGAAAGTTTCAATTTCTTCAAACTTTAACAATGAAACAACAGGGCTCTAGTACAATAGCAGGAAATACAACAGAAATAGCAGCAAGGTGCAAAAATCTCTCAGTGGAGTAGTGCATAGAGAAGCACAAAGTCAACATAAACAAGGACACTAGAGAAAATTGAAACTTCTGTCACCTATAGCTATAGCAAACAGTAAACACAGTGGAAATCTTCTTCATATCAATATAAAACCTCACAGTAAATGCCTATTTACCTCTAGTGATATTGCAACTTATAAGAAGTATACACACACACACACACACACATACACACACACACACACATTTGGTGATTGCCTTCATTTCTGACACAGAGCTCCTAAAACACTTGGAGTTTCCCAAGTAATAAAAACAATGACAGATCTTGTTTTCTTTACACAGACACATACACACATACACACATACGGTCATCAAATAGCTCCAGAAGAAAGCCCCTCAGAATGGGGGCTGATTCCTCCAGGATTCAATCAAGTTCACCCTGTAACCTCAGTGGAGGGGAGAACGGTTAGAGGTTGAATCAATCACCAACCACCAATGAATTAATCAAGCATGCTTAGCAATGAAGCCTCCTTAAAACTCCAAAAGGAAAGCTTCAGAGAGCTTCTGGGTTGATGAACATGTGGAAATGAGGAGAAGGTGGCATGCCAGAAAAGGATATGTCTTCTCACCCCATAACTTGCCCTATGTATCTCTTCATATGGCTCATCTTTTGAATCCTCTAAAATCTTTTGTAATACACCAAGGATCCAGTAAGTAATAAGTAAATTGTTTTCCGGAGTTCTAGCCACTGTACAAATTAATCAAGTCCAAGGAGAGGGTTGTGGGAAACTCTGGTCAGTCTGAAGCATAGATTACCATCTGCATCCTGTATTCCTGTATTCGTGATTGGCTTCTGCAGTGTGGGGTTGGGAACAGGGAGTGCTGTGGGACTGACGCTATTCCAGATAGTGTCATAATTAAGTTAAGTTGGAGGACATCCCTGTGATGTTGCAGAACTGTTTGGTATTTAGAAAACTTGCACATCTGGTGTCAGAAGTGTGGTATAATAGTATCAAAAGTAGGCAAGACACAGAGGAGCACAGTTTTCTTTAGCTCTCCATTCCCATCGTCCAATACATCATGGGTGATTTTCAACAAAAAATTGTAAGTAATGCTAAAAAGCAAGGAAGAAAAATAGAGTTTGAAGAAGCAAAGTATCAGAAATAGATTAACATATGATAGATTGTGGAATTATCAGATAGGATTTTAAAACAACTATGATCTATGCTAACAGGATCTAAAGGGAAAAAAAATGGCAATGTGCAAGAACAAACTGGCGACGTAAGCAAAGAGCTAGAGATTCTGAGTGAAAATTCAAAAGAAAATGAGATAACTAAAAAAAATACCTCAACAGAAATGAAGAATGCTTTTGATATGTATATCAGTAGACTGGACATAGAGAAGGAAAGAATCAAGGAGCCTAAAGATAAATCAATAGAAACTCCCCCAAACTAAAATGCCAAGAGACAAAAATAAAAATAATACTAAAAAGAATATCCAGGAACTATGGGACAATTTTAAAAAGGGTAACAAACATGTAAGAGAGGCTAGCTTTCTTTTCAACACTGCATCCTTATTGCTTTAGTGAACAGAATACCCACTGCATCATCCCATCAAAAAGAGTAGTTGGATGGGTTTTGTTAGTATATTTATTCTAATAACCCTACTTATCTGATTCTTATGATTCTTTCTTCTACCATCTGCTATGCATTTCTGGCTTATCAATTTTACTGTGGAAATTTGTTTCTCCAAGATTTCAAAAGTCCTCCTAGCAGGATGTTAGTATCGCTCCCCAAACCCTTGTTGGGGTGTTAAATCCTGTGTGATAAGAGAGTGCTGCCATATAAAGAATTTATCCAATTTTATACTATTTCCCAGCATCCGCAAGATCCAATCTGATTTGTGGTCCCCTCGCTTTTGCCAGAACATTTTGGCTAGGTCCTGCTGCTTCTTCAGTGTAGAGCCTCTTTCTTCTTTCATCAGCCTGAACATTTTCTCAGCCAGATTCGATAGTGTCTTGATCCCAGTTCCTTCTTCGGTGCCCAGGAAGGCAGGTGGGACTGAAGTAGTGCAGTTTTGTTTTAAAATAGCGATTTTGTATTGTCTTTAAATTTGGGGCGGGGGTGGTGCACTAATATAGAGGACTTGGCCACTTTGGTAGACCCAAAGTATTTCCAAAGAATCAAAGGATTCATGATTTTTCACTGCATCTATCTGCATGCTCCTATTGCAACTTGGACAGTTTCCACTTTTTCTTATAAAACCTTAATCTTGGCATTAACATTTTGCTGGATTTGAGAATTTAAACTGCTTTGACACTTGCTACCCTTTTAACTAAATCCTAGGACTGCTTCTTATTTTTGTTCTGCCCTCTTGCTGAAGGAGAGGATTATCTCTTTATATGCTACCAGTTACTCCCTCTGTTTTTCACATTTTGTCATGAACTGGTGATTACTTACCTTCCATCTTTCATTTTCTTGAATGAGTCCATCAACAGGCATATAATTGCATAGTCTATACAATCACTAGTTCTCTTGGACCTTTCAATGTCCTGAGATACTACACCTGACAATTCATACACTTACACTGGTGTCTCACCCTATTTTGTCCCCAGTTGCAACTTTAACCTCTGGACCATGACAACATACCTGGAGCTATCCATATTCCACGTGCCATCAAAGACCGTGTCCTCATTGTCAACCTGCTGCAAAATCCCATATTATAACTTGCTTCCTCAAATCATTCCAGATACCAACTCTCTTGGTGTGAGTTTCTCAGGAAACAGATACTCAGGGGTTTGTGTACAGTAAACTTACTTGGAAATACTCTTGGGAACAACATCCCTAAAAGAATGAGAGAAGCAGATACTGACAGGACAAGTAGAATTGTGATGCTTTTGCAACAGAAACTTTAGCCAATGTCATAAGTAGCCGTGGAACAAGGATGACCTTTCAGAGTTAGATGCAAATAAAGCCTTGAAGGCCAAGTTTTATAGGCTTCTGCATTGACCAGTTACCGTGGGGGGAATGTATTCATAATGTTAATGGTCAAAGATACAGTACTTGTTTACTCTCCATTGTTAACACTCACCACTTTTTTAAGTCTACACAATTAAAAAACAATTACACGTCCTGATTTGCAATGTTTGCAGATTTCCTTGGTGTATATATTTCTATTATTGCCAATTTTAAGCTTCCAGTGAGATGTGGGTGACCTAACACAGGGCTGGAAAGAGTTGGGCAGCAACGTACCATTACGGACACACAAGAGGTATAAAGACAAGAGCACAAGTAAGGGAAAAAAATGTAAAATAAATGGGGCGTCACGAGTTTCAAGTATCTAAAACACTTAAAAATCTAATTTACAGAGCTGTGATACATACTTTAATTTTTAAACATAACTATGTCTAAAAACTTGTTTACACATTTTCTGAATATTTACAAATCGGCTCCTGCAAGCTGCTTACTACAAGCTGGCTTGAGCAAACGCCTGCATCCCATCACTGCATTCATATTAAAATTAAAGGCAGCATATTAATTTGCACTTTCCTCAATTGACCACTCATGTTGGAAAATATTAACAAGCTGTAAATCCGTGCTATGGGGACTTTTGAACGCCTCTATGTAACTGAGTGCTTAAGTTTTTTCCTGTAGAATAAAAGTGGCCTGAGAGTCTGCTCTGAACACTAAAACTTCTGTTTAATAATAATATGTTTTATTGCCTCCTCTCCCTATTTAAAGGTGACACTTGTATGATTACCCTACTTTTTTAGCTTTGGACTCTGTCTACTTACATCTTAGCAGTAGAGGAGGACACTTGCAGTGGGTCAGGGAAAAAGGCCACCAGGGTTGAAGCCTGGGAAATGGGCATGAAAAATAAGCGTCATTCCTCTTGTCTGATCTCTTTGATGCTGTAAGAGCTTACAGTAATTAAGGAACCACCAAGAATTGCACAATGCATGTTGCAAACATTATCACAATGAATGTTATTATATTATCCAAATTCACTCATGAGGATGTGGAAGCACCCAAAATGTTAAACAAATTGTCCAAACACACATAGTTTTTTGTTGAGTAGGTGAAACCAAGATTAAACACAAATTTTATGAATTCAGAAGTTTACCAGTTTCATCTATTAATCACCTCAACTAAATATATCTTTTATTTAGGCCTCAATCATGGAAATAAGTATGTTTGTAAAACTTTATTTCACATAATTAAAAACAACACTGAGTTAAGTGGTGATGCTTTACATAGAAGCCATTCTTAGTGTATTATAGCTGACTTAACATTTGGTTGATAGAAATAACAGAAAAGACAGTGATCTTTTGGGCTTCTAAGTATTTACAAATAAAGCAAACAGAACAAATAGCATTTCTACAGATACTATCATGGCAATCAGAGAAGGGACACCAAAGTTAGAACTGGTAAGCTGTTTACTAACCAATGGCTGGGACATTTTAAATAGGTAGCTTAAATAAATTTTGGTTGATTCAGTAGTTTAGGCAATATTCTTGAAAGGTTGGATTAATATCATTGCTGATTTGTTCAATTGCATAAATGGTGTTGATTAATCTTGTTTAAAAAAAAAACTTGTTATGAGGCCGGTAGAAAGAAGGGGCATATTTTTTATGAAGATGAGTAAGACAGACAACTCTTACTTAATAAGCAATTGCTAAGAATTTATTTTGCCCTTGATAGTGTATTTGTGGGAGTATTTTTAGGTACTTGTAGAAATGTATGCTTTAATTTAAAAAGTGATATATTACCCTTTGACACATAAAGCACTACAACATTTCACCATAGTGACTGATCAACGTGGTGATGACTTTTGAAACCAGTTAGTGAATAAATGAAATTAAAGTCACACCCTAAGGAAAAGAAAATAAAAAAACACCTCAAGTTTAGCTTTCCAAGAATTATCTGTTGAAGATAATGAGATGCATGTGAGTATAGAAAACTAAGTAACATTGGGGATTTTTAAGAACACTGCTATTTTATTTTATTCCTTATTCATTCTATCTGTCCAACTATCTGTTTATTGATAAAATACACAGTGTTATCAATGGATCAAGTGCAAATAGATGTCATCAACAATTGTCATCATCTTAAATATATAAATAAATGTTCATAGTATATATGTTTGTATGTATGTTGTATGCACGTTCACATAGATATTTTAAAAGTAACCATTAGTACTTTTCTTATTAAAAAAATAGATTCTGTGTTAGTAGTGTATGATGAATGGTCTTCTACATTCTTGTTGCACCTGTGGCTCCCTCTTGGGTCAAGGGCTCAGATGCAGTTCCTTAAATGTGGGTTTCCATGCCTTGGATTTGATTTCCAGAAGGATTTCCTCAGACTTGATTGTACTATAGATTGTTGCCTGACCAAAAGTCACGTTAAATAAAAGGAAGGCCAGTGGCTTTATGAGAAAGACCGATTTGGAAACTCTGTTAATCTATCCAATCAAATCTCTCGTCTGGGGTTTGATTAACATAAGACATACAAGGAATTTTTTCAGGAAGTTGAGTAGAGCAAAATCCAAGCACTACATAGAAAAAGTATTCAGAGCAAATCATTTCACAGTAGAAACCAAAAATAAAAAGAAGTGTGAGAGGAAAGGAGATAAGGTAAAAACAAAACAAAACCAACATAAGAACATGAGAAACATGCAGTAGATACCATAGCAGCCATATTGCATGAATTGAGTCTTTAGATATTTTGGTGCTGTTAGACCTGACGTAGTATCATAAATGTCTTTGCATTTCATCTTAATGCTTTTATTTTATTTGTGGAAGATTTTTCCTGCATTTTTTTTCTTTCCTGCATAGTTTTAAAATAAAAAGCTCAGACCAGTAGAGGTAAGCTTAACATACTCCTGTTGCTCAATATCTGGGTCAGGGGCGCCTGGGTGGCGCAGTCGGTTAAGCGTCCGACTTCAGCTCAGGTCACGATCTCGCGGTCCGTGAGTTCGAGCCCCGCGTCGGGCTCTGGGCTGA